GAGAGAGAGAGAGAGAGAGAGAGAGAGAGAGAGAGAGAGTTGAAGATCACGTTTAAAAATAATTATAAAATAGTATATGCGCAACTCAAATATATAAACAAGCGGATCACTTAAATCGCGTTCGCGACTCAGCGAAATCCTATTGTCGTACGCTGCTTACCATTGTGGGAAAATAGTGGGAGCTTTTACTCTCATTAACCGCATTACGTCATCGCGACGTACATTAAAACCGATCGATGGTATCTTTGCGGCACTTGTGCGGGATAAACTTGCGCGTAATCAGGTTGCGTGTCTTTCCGCGCGTACGTGCGTGACTTTACGCTCGGCGTTACGGCAACAACTATTTCGCATCGCCACGCAACGAGTTACACTTTCGTGCATATCTCACACCTGCCTACTTCCCGTTTCGCGAGAGAAAACGTCTCGTGCCTTGTATTAATATTTTCGCTGGTTGAAACGTAAACAAAACTAAACTCCCCCCCCCCCCATTGACAAATCTGGAGGTAAATCAGCTTCTGATTTTCTAGAAAACCTAACAAAAAAATTACACCACAATCATGATCCAACGTAGCGGAAATAATGAACGAACGCGTATCAGCCAAGACGTATACTTAAATTTTACTTTCCCGAACGGAGCATCATACGAGAAAACGTTAGAAAATATTTTGCACATTTTGAACATAGTTTTATAAGAAAAGGCGAGTTTTGGTGATTGTTTGGTTGTATACCAAAGTGTACCAGAGTGTACACTGGACGTCACGAATGCTTTCACACCCGAAAATAGCTGTCTCAGCGAGCTCAATATGTTCCGCTAGAAAAATTCATTTTATTAAAATACATTTTCCTATTGGATATTATTAGCGTATTTCTTCAGGTATAAAGGCATTCGTGACGTTGAATGTACACTCTGATACACTTTGGTATATGTGTAATACCAAACAGTCGCCAAAAATCGCCTAAAAGCCCACTTCTACCTCAGTTTGTCGTATAAATATTTTCAAATAATGAAACTGTTCAACTCATTGCCACTAAAGTACCATCTCAGTTCCTCTTAAACAAAAACCATGAAAATGTGTTTCCTGTCGATGTAAGGAGGGGACGAGGTGTACGCAGAAACATAAGAAATGCCTCGCTTACCGGTGATGGAGGCGGTGGGCGAAATGGCGGACGGGTTGGCGCGCGGTGGCGGCGAAAACGCACCCGCCAGGTAACCGCTGCGATCGGCGAGGGCCTGTTTCGCCTTGTCGACGCTTTCCTTAAGTCGTTGAAAGGTGCTACCGCAAGTGAGACCGCGGTACGGCCAGTTTTCCTGCTTGACACCGGCCGCGGTTACACCGGCGGCGGCCGCGGCCGCGGCTCCGGCCCCGGAGGCTCCCTTTAATTCGAGCGCACCTGCGTACGAACAGCTAGCGCTGTCGTACATCACCAAAGAGCCCCTGCAATGCAAAATTAATTTCTGTCAACGATAGAGAGAGAGAGAGAGAGAGAGAAAGAGCTGTAATTATCGTGAGCTACCTGTCAGGATCGAGTGGACTACAAGGGGATGCTGAAGTAAATCTACACTGTTTGCTCCTGGAACTGTTAATTCATGCCCATACAGCACAGATGGTTGCAGTTACATTACAGAAACGTTGCAATCTTGCAGATTGCAGTGCAATCTTGCAGGGATATAAAATTGCAAACTTTCGATAGCAATATTGCAGCAATGTTTCAAAAATAATGAAAATACTATATTTTCTATTTAAAAAATTTTTCTAATTACGAGAATTTTATAATGCTATTTCCGTTGACACCAATAATGCGCGAATTATTAAGTACTTGACCAGTGCGGTGTTTCTCGCAATCTCCATCTATTGTGAAGCGACATAACCTCCTTAGGTTGCCTCGCAATAGCTTGCTATGCATTAAAAAAGGCCCGGATGTATATGTAATTAGTAAATTCTCTTACGTACAACAACGACAAATTATTCCAAAAATATTGCGCTGCAACATTGCTATAATGTTGCACTGCAATCTCTCTGAGGGCGGACATTTCAACGTTGCTGCAATCCTCCAGAAACGTTGCAGCAATGTTGCGCAACATTGCTGCAACATTGCAATCTTGCAATGTAACATTTCTGCAATCTTCCTCCAATCTTTCTGTGCTGTGTGGGTGAAAACGTTTGTGTAATATACAATTGACGTGGCTTTTGTGTACAGACCAACAGTGTTCCACTAATCGGACTAAATCAGAGAATAGTATGATATCGTTAAAATTAAGTTTAGAAGCCGAACAAAAAGTCTATTCACTCGAATGAGTTATAGGTTATAGGTTAAATTATGTCTTGATGATAAGTTTTTGTTAGACTTTTAAACTTAATTTCAATGACACCACGCTGTTCTCTGATTTAGTCCGATTGGTGAAACACTGTCGGTCTATACACAAACGTCACACAATTTGTATATTACAGAAATGTTTTCATGAATTGACAGTTTTAGATACGAAAAGTGCAAAACCCTGCCGGAAATAATTCTACAAAATTCTACAAGAAAATTAAATATAACTGCCAGAATCTACGAAATTCTACGTAAATTTAAAAAGTGTTATGAAAATCAACATGAAAATGCTAGAATTGGAACACTTTTATTAATTTTTGTAATATTCTACAAGTAAGCAGATGTTTTAATTCTTTAAGATTTTGTTGTTTCACAAATTTTTAAAACCGTAAAGTTTTGTACTAATTTTTACAAAATTGTACATTTTCATGAAATATTACTCACAATAACTTCTTGATTTGAGAACATTGTAATTTGTGGTACTATTTTGTGGATATTTTTACAAAAAAATAAATGTTTCAACGAAGATATAAAAATTTCTACAAATTTCTATTTTAAGTCAATTTTTTGTAGTTATTTGTAGAAATTTCTCCGCTAGGGAAGATACAGAATCACTCCAGCATCGCCTCAAATGACATGCGAGTACCAATCTTTTTTATTCCGTCACATGTCAGAAACATTCTTGTATCCCGAAGACGCAGAGAAATTGGATATTTTTATTCGTCTTCTTTCTTTTCGGCGATTTAGCTGCATATTAGGAAGAAGTCTCGATGAAAAGCATCTGTACGTCGACGTTGACTCCGTTTCGTTCAATTGAGTACTTCCTGCTGAATATTAACATTGCAACTCTTTGAAATGAAGTTCACGTCGTCGTACTGATCAGCTAATGGTATCCGTCACTGATAAGTTAGCACCTTATTAACGCGAGTTTAAAATCGAGGAGAGAGCTAATCCCATTACGCATGTGCGGCTCGTCTGCGTTATTAAATTCTTTCCATCTATTAAAATGGACATGGCTAAAATGCGATGTAGGGTCGATTGAGGCAAGCCTACATTACTTTAAGCTGATAGCACTTATGCTCATATGCAGATACTGCGGCTGGGATCATTAAAGGACCCTTGAAACATCCGGTAAAGGCATGATCGAATTAACATAGACGAGCGTATGCACAAATATAATATTTTTCATTCTACAATCTCCCGACAAGTGTCCTTTTAGCTATTACCATACACTCTTTACAATTTTCTCTCCGATGTTTTTTCCCTAGAATTATTAACTCTGTTATATACTTTACCGTTTTACTTGTACAATTCTATGAACAATTTATATTTTTAACTTATTGTTAGAATAACAGTAGTTACACAACTAATATGTAACTAATAAAATGTTGTTTTATTTCAGCCGATTACATTAAGACTGCATCTCCAAATCACTGATTTCTTATCGCTTTCTTTCTTAATCATTTAAACGCAATGTAATGTTTCATAATCATATTTCAAAAAAGATAAGATAAAGGTTCCATTATACAATCAATTTTTTTTTAATCTTTCATCGCAGGATCATTTGTGATGTGCCTCGTACGTGTGTTCCCGGGTTAACCGGTCAAAATAACACTTAATAGGCAGGTATATACGTCTACCTTCGGTTGCAGCTGGCCATGAATCAACCAAAGCTGCACACCATCAGGAAAGCGTTTATTACATTAGCATTCTTATTCATCATTTTAGGTGCGATATCTGTTAGCGGAGAATAAAAGGTCACGTCGAATGCGCTATTAATCCACAAGAATTAGCGTTTCATAAACGCTAGTTTAAACTACAATATTTTCTTTCACAGTTTACCCTGGAAATCACGTTATCGTAGGACAACGTGGCATTTTGAAGAATTTTGCGAGAGTTTCTTGGAAATTTTACCATACATTTTGCCCACATCTCGCGTATTAATTTATATAAAATTATTCGCGGAAAATCACACAGAATGTTACAGATGCAAATAGGAAATGTTCTCTTTACAGTTTTCTTCTGCTTGTATTTTGATTCCACATATTTACTAAACCTCTGTGTATATAAAATACATCGCGAATAAAATGCAACGCTTTGCACTTCTTTATCGCTTTCTTCACGACGCTTCGGCGAAGAGATAGAAAAAGAGAGAGACAAACACGAGAGACACATGTGGCAGATACCAGCGAACTATTATGCGCGTAACAACGGAACGTTTCTAGTCAAAGTCGCATAATCCAGAAAACACCAGCTATCATCTACATTTCAACGGCGACGCGGCCTCGAACTTGCGCCCGTCAAAATTGCGAGAGCGATCCACGATCGAATTTGCATGAGGCCCGTTGCGATCGTATCTGCCGGCAATTCCGCGACGCGGAGAGCGCGGAGATAAGAGGCCGCCTATAATATTGAAGCTTGTCGTTTATCGCGAGTCCGCTTCCGTCTAATCTTGAAAATCTGCCACTTCCGCTATCCCTTCCCGTATTACATAAATCATTATTCAAACGAAACGATGCCGCGCGACGTCGCCGACCACGTGCGACTCGCCCGAACACGTGAAACTCCCTACGGTGCGATTTTTTTTTGTAAGTTAGAGAAAGCGCGTAGACGGGGAAATTATCGCGCGAGCCGATATTGATAGACGATACACAGATATTTATTTTCAACTGTCTATAACGTGCTTGGACACGAACTATCGACCCGCTTTCTATTTGACCTTAGTTATTAATAGAAAGCTAAACAGCTTATATCTATTTTCGAAGTTATCATTTTCTCATTAAAATCGATCGATTCATTAACATACATTTTGCATAAGAAGCGCTGAAATATTAAGACCAGTCTATATTCAGACTCGTTTCCATTGTTCTCATGCTCGTGATTTAAATCCTTTTCACACATTTTGGACCGTGTGTCTCCACAAATTCTAAATGCCGAAACGTGTAGTGAAACTTTACTCGTAAAACTTTGCAACGACTGATTCTGTGCGTTTGCGCTTTTATAAAATCACGTTCTGTCACCTTGCGCTGGAAACGTACATTAGAAACATACGAGATTGTCTCAGTGGACATTATCTTAATCGGAAATAATGAATGTTTTTTTTCTTCATCTCGACTTTTCGTGTTTACCTTCGATCACCGTGACAATTCTCGCGATGGACCCGCAAACGTTTCACTGTCGCCGCACCGATCGTCGAAACGTCACTTTTCTCTGGATCACCCAGCAGACTAGTCCGGAAGGTAAGATAGAGTTTTTTCCGATCATCTCGAGTCACTTGTTATCGCGAGGCACTCGCTGACATTCGATCAGAACGTTAAGGATAAAAGCACTCTCGTGAGTACGTCCGGATGTCCAGCGCGTATTGAGGTCAATCTAATCACAAAACTGTCACATAGTCACTGCTTCTGTTCCGCGGCACGATGAGCGCGCAGCCGGATTGTCTTTGCGGTTCTGCCTGACAGTTTAAAAGCCGAATCAAGCGATCGATCGTCGGGTCCGCGAGCCGTCGACTGCTCGGGCGATCGCCATTTTTACGCCGTCGAGAATTTATTTCATTTATTAAACAACACACCGTTCTCAATCGTTTCGATTCCGATCCGTTGGCTAATAAATTTTGTATTTTCCCGATTACTGCAACAGTAGCGCTTGACAAACTTACCACAAATATTTCGACAGTGGAACAAGCGCGAGCTTCATTTACCGATCGTGGAAAATAATCGTGACACGAGATGAAAAATATTTACCAAGTATACTTGTTGATTTTAATTGGAGATAATTTCTCAGTTTAAAATGGAGTCAGGAGAGAAAAGACGTGCGAATAGAACAATTAAGAGAAATAGTCACGCTCGTTTTTTTTTTAGTAACAAATATTCACAGTCACGGCCAATGTATCCTACGAGCGAAAGTATGTACAATTGTTGTAAGATCGACACCGAAAAATTAATATTTTGCCACATCACTCGCGTCTCGGACGATTCCCGTCGTTGCGGTCACCAGAAGTTGAAAGCGGCGTAATCTCGACGAATCTAATCTCCGATACTGCGGATTCAGAAAACAAAAAACCGTATCTTACGCCAATTGTGTGACATCCATTGTCGCGTATAATTCACACTCATTATATCGGACAAAACAACGTTGTGTCAGCGGGCCGCGCGTTCATCATACGATATAATTGCGCTCCGCGCGACGCGCGCGCCGAGACGATTTCCCTTCACACGCACTCGCGCGCGATCGCTACGCAGTATTGTTTTACCCCGTCCGCGCGTTTTCGCAGCATCACTTTCACGCGGGCTTATCGGCCAGGTGTCCGATACGGAGATGGAGCTGGACCGCGGTATCAAGAAGAAGGTACTCCGGGCAGGTTGTCTCGCACAACTGTGGCCGCCGCGGGCAGCAAATTGCCTGCTTCCGGGCCTCATTACATCACTCTGTTACTCTGTTAACGCTCGCCGGAAACCCCTCTGCCTACCTCGTCTAAATTCTCGTCTCGCATATATATATATATACACCGCTTATATATATATAAAGACTCTTTTTTGAAAAAATTACTTGCGCTTATTTAATGATATTATAACATTTACTCTGTTAATACTCGCTGCATATATGTATATATATATATATATATGAATATATGTTGTAATATCATTAAATAAGCGTAAGTAATTTTATTGTGTTTCCCACAAAAGTTGACAAAACGTGATTGATAAAAACGCAAACGCGCAAAATCGTCGTAAAGTTTTACAACGCGTTTAAATATTTGGAATTTGTAGAAACACGTGATACAAAATGTTTGAAAGAGATTTAAATCACGAGTTTGGAAATAACGGCAACGAATCTGATATAGCAGGTGTTAACAGAGTAAATGTCATATGTCATTAAATAAGCGCAAGTAGTTTTTTTAAAAAAATAGAGACTTTGCATCATAGATCTATATATATGTGTGTGTGTATACATGTATTATGTGTGAATACATATATATCTACACACAGGTCATTTAAACGCATCGTCGCGGACACTACACAGGCGCGCAGTTGCGCGCGAGAGGGAGAAGAAGCGGCCCGAGACCACCGGGAAAATGCTTCCCGACGCCGTGTGAGAACCGCGTCGCGACGCTCTATTTCCCGTCGAAGGGTTTCCTCGTCAATAAATTAAAGATCAGCTGTAAGAAGTATTAACGTCGCAGGACGAAGCAGAATAGAGCACACGCGAGCTTCGACACCGAACAGCACGAGCAGTAAGAAACAGTTACTTTCTGAAATATTTTATACGTGGCTAAAAAAATTGTAATTTTTTATGTTCAACCAAACTGAATTCTGTAATGGTATGTTATATGTATAATATCATTAAATAAGCGCGAGTAATTTTTTCAAGAAAGAGTCTTTTTGCATCATAGATTTTTAAGAGCAAATAGAGAAAATTAAATTCGATGTTACAAAATTATTTTAATCAGGCACATTAGTTTCCTTATACTGCACGCTTATGTAAAATCGAGGGGAATACACAGAAAAATATATACTACCTGCAAGTAAATATTATTTGTTCAAAGTATTTGGATAAGTTTATATATCCGCAAATCTATCATAATGTCGTCGCAAGTGTTATATTTACTCAAAACATATTCTGGTCCTTAGTAAGTCTAGTACTTGAAACAAGAAAAGAATACACAGAATTATTTGAAGCAACACAATTTTGTTTCTTCTGATTTTATTAAAGGAAGCACACGGAATTCTTCAATGAGTTTTGTAATTTTCTTCAAAGGAGAATAAATTCTTTCTTTGAGTATAAGATGGCGAGCTTTTCTAAGACTAGTAACAAGTATAGCTTCAAACTATTATTAAAAAAATATTCTTTGTTGAACCGAACTATTACTTAAACGGAATAAAATAAACCGAGTAATTACTTTTCTTGACTGTACAATAATGTTTTTCTGTGTGTACCGCTGGCCAAAATCTTGTACACCAATGCCCACTAATGCTCAGTGGGCATTACTTTATCTCATTATTATTATTTTATCTTATTTTATCTTGTTTTATCTTATTTTATCTTTGTAATGCTCAAACTAATGTCCAAAAAATTTCTAGTAACGCCCAGTAATGCCGCAAATCTGTACACCCGGTTTCCCCCTCGTATAAAATTAGGAGGTAGAATTATTTTATTTTACAAACAAAAATTAATCCAATAAGCTCGTAAGAACAAAGTGATAATATTAAAGAATATATACTTATCGCGATAGTGCAAAGAAATTATTCAAACGGTTTACGAACTTTCGGATTATACCGAAACGTGTGATTTTTTTCAGTGAAAACACTCTGTAAAGTATACGCGTTTTTCCCCGCGTGTGGATGAAAAATTTGCGTTTCTTCGAAAGAAAAAAAAAGAAGATATAAAACGGCGATCGCGATGCGTAACGCGCGCTAAAGCAGGGGACGACGTAGCGGTCGGTGGACACGCGCGGTAATTTCGCATTGGTCAATGCGTGCGCCCGCCGTTTAGCCCGTAAAACGTGCGTGGCGACAGACGCGGAGACGCGTCATGCGTAAGGCTCCATGAGCGGAATTATAGGGCCATGTCCCGCGACGCCAAGGCACTTCCGTTCGCGCGAATTTAATCCTCGGACCTTGCTCCGGCAACTACCAAATCCTAATATGTTGAAATGAACACGCTAGATATCTCGTGTTTGTATAAACGTGCTATCAATGTTTCAATGAAATTGACATTGTTTTTAAATGTGTTGTCAACATTTCATGAAATTCACATCGTTTTCTAGGACTTTTTAGCTTTTCGCGCGATATCAATCTTCTTATCGCTTTTTGGTTACTTTCCAAAGTTACCGCGGAATTAAACAAAAATGGAATCTTTCTCGTGCAGAAAAACGTCACGAAACAAATATTCTGGAAATGGTAAGTCGCCAGTGATCAAAGAAAATATAGTCAAGAGTTAGAACGACTTTTGCTGGCGAGTAATTTTTATGTAATAAATTTAAATTACGACGTTTCGACCAGTAATACTGGTCCTTTTCGAGTATAAATTACGTTACATCCATCTATTGTTACGGCAAGAGATCTACAACTTATACAGTGACAATTAAAAACGGTAAATTAGGGATTAGAGAGAAGAGGAAAGTTTAGATAGACTGACTTATGGAAAAAAACGTGTCGTGGTGCATATAAAATATAAGAAATGTCAATAAATATCGTCGAAATAAAACGTTAGATTCACTGACCGACAGACATCTATAAGTCATACGCCAGTCTAAAGAAAAACTGCTTAGAATAAGTCGAGTGGGAACAGTGGGTCGTCGAAATAAAATAAAATAACGGTACCCGGAGGGGACAAAAAGGTAAACGAGTAAAATGAATAAATAATATAATAAAAAATAATATAATATAATAAAAAATAAATAATAAAAAAATAGACAATAACTTAGGTGGTGCGGACAATTTTATCGTAGACAGAATTCAAATTATCTGTGTCTTGTTGGAGGTTTATCGTGTTTTTCGATCTTTCAATGTAAAACATCTCCGCGATTTCTCTCTTTCTACAATGTGACTCCTTATGTAAGATTACAGGGTTGGGCCAGTCAAAGTCGCGGTTGAAACGAGTTCGATGTTTACTAACCGACCGAATGATTGCATGTCGGCTTTTTGAGATCATTACGGTGTTCTTTAATCCTCGTTTCGATATGTCTTTTTGTTTGGCCGATGTAAGACGCATCGCAATCAACGCAATTAATTTTATAAACGAGTTCGGTCTGTCTAGTGTTAATAATCTTATCCTTTCCATTCCTGACAAAACAAATGTTAAATTATCGTATCGTATATATCACATTTAATTCTTTCATGACGACTGCAACATAATTTTTTGGCTCTTTGGTTTCTTGGAACACTAGTGTCCCATTTGAAAAATTGTAACGATAAATCCAAAATTATTGTGACGCATGAATCTTCCGGTACAAACTTATGTTCTCATTTTATTTTTCTGGCTACAACCGTGGCCAGTTTGTTATGCATTAAACTATTGTCACTTGATGAGGATCTGGAATTAGGTCGAAACGTCGTGAAATGAACCATTTTAATCTTGCCAATCGACTACGGGCTCTTCTTTATTTGGATTTTGCCACTGGCGACTAAGAACACTCGAGTTCGTCGAGAAGTATTCGGTCACGAAAGGATCGAATCAGACACGGAGAGAATTTTCTTTTAAAATTCGTCCGGAAAATATTGTTATCGTGGGACAACGTGGCATTTCAAAGAGTTTTGTGAGAGTTTTCTGAAATTTTACCATACATTTCACTAGTAAAATGTATACTAATCGTAAGTATAATTACTGTAGGAATTAGGAAATTCTATTATACGCGTTTGTCGGACGTGTTAGCGTCCTCGCTACAGGTGTTCCGCGTGTACCGCTTTATTTATCAAGACGGGACGCCCTTGTTATTGCGAGCGACGCTCGAACGCGTTGAACTCGAACGTATCGTTGGAGTTTAACGCGTCGTGATCTAATTGGTCCACGTAAGCAGTGGCCAAGCTAATAAATCCATATCTCGAGGACCCGAGAGACAGACGTTCGAATTCGGAGGAAAGAGAAAGACGTGCACCGGTTAGTCCCAACGTAACGTGCGAGTCGCGAATCAATTGTAACTCTGAGTTTGATTTTTTTTTTGTAACTTGATTGAATTATTATTTTTAACGATTTCCGAAATCCGCAAATCCTACATTGCTTTCAAAAAACTCTCGCAAAGTTCTCCAAAATGCCACGATATCTCACGATTACACGACGTACATTTTTTCCGTGTATTTCTACTATAAATCTCTCTCGAGTAAAAGTCCCCAAAAATTAACACGACAAACATAGAAGTTTTTAATACTTTATGTTTGCAACATCTATCACAAATCTCATTTAACTTTCGCATTATAATACAGTTTTCGTTGTTTCAATTCAAGCAAAAACATAGCTCAGGAGATTAAACAAGTAAGCAATTCTTTCATTTTCCAAAAATTGTATTTAAAGATCCGGCTTGTTATTACAACGATTAATGTTTTAAAAAGGGGATAGGATGCAAATTGAATAATATGTAAAATAAATTACGAGTCTATTAGCTTCATTAGTGACTGAAAAACGTGTACGTCAACGTATCAGATGGATCCGTTTGGAGATATCGAGGAAAGCGCTGGTAAAACCGCCATGAATCCGGGTATAAACAATGCAAAGTGATCGCGGTCGCTTTCGGCGCTATCGATATTGTTCCATCGGCGAGAGGCAGCGATACGACGGAAGCAGCGCGGCCGGCAATCTTCGGTTTCCTCTCTTCGGGGCGTTCCACCCCCGAGCTTCCTCCGGCGCGCAAAAACGCTCCGCTCTAATCGGCGCCGCGAAACGTCGCACACTTACCGTCAGCGCGGGGGGCCTACGCGCTATCTTGTCCAGCACTGTCAGATCCAGTTCGATCCCCGGAATATCTCCCTAGATCTCGCCGACGATGTACGTTGTACAGTGGAGCGGGAGTTTCGCGTTTATGCCACTC